GTTTGAGTTTATCAATTTAAATTTAATCTAAATACGTTTTTCACGCCCAGTCGAGACCACACCCAGCGCTGACAACGCCCCGCGCTGACAACGCCCCGTCCGCCAAAAATTTTTGACTGAGGTACGAAAAATCCTAGATCCGCCCCTGCTGATAATCTCACATGTGAGATTATTCATGATAATCAGGCACATGTGAAAATTATCGCTTTTCAATTATCGCTTTTCTGTAAAAGTTATCGCTTTTCAAAGACTGTCCTTTATATAATAAACAGAAAAATGCATGGGTGCTTGGAAATACCAGATTTATTTCTCGTGTTGAACATGATATCTCACTCGTTCACTGCGCTCACTCGTGAGATATCATGTTCAGCACTCCGGAAATAAATCTGGTATTTCGGCGCACCCATGTATTATTCTCTATTTATTTTGTGTAAGTTCTCAACCGCCAGATACATTTAGAAAAGTTGCTAACTGTGTAACTACAAATTAAATCTCAAACAATTGTAATTTTGAGAGGAACGCCAAAACAATTTTAAGTTTTGAAACCTTTCCATCGCAAATTAAAGCGCGACATTGAAAAAAATGGCTCTTATAGAAGACCTAATGTCCACCATTTCTCGCCATGATGAATATTGAAAAACTTCAACAACGATCGATAAGTTTTTGTTCTTTGTTTAATTAAAGGTGGATTTACACTACGCGACTTTTGCCTAAAGCTTGGTTTCCATATGGTCGTAAAAATTGCCGAGTCACGATCTTTCTCATCAGCCGAAATACAACATATTAGAACTGAAAATACGGCCAGGGCATTTTTTAACCGCTACATAACTACTGGGGCATTTACCCCAGTAGGCCCTTTGCTTGCCCTAGTAATGAAGCAAGATTTTCAGATGAGTTGGGCCCTTTTGATCATTAGTAAAAAGTCAAGCTTGTTGAAAAAACTGCATCTGCTCGCCTTCTCATAATTTATGAAGTTGTGAGGTAATTGGAACTCCCCCAGTCGTCAGGTAGTTGACAAATTGTCTAATTCAAGTCACTGGAAAAAAAAAATGAAATCGTATAGTATATACGTTTTAACCCCGGGGTTGAAATCGTCCATGTAATCGCAAAAAATTTCAACCCGGTTAACAGGGCTGAGTTCAAGCCCGGGGTTGAAAATGCTCCATGTAATCGGCCTCTTAATAATCAAAGTCAGATGAGAATGAGAGCTCTGTATGTACAAATATACCAAATATCAACTTTCGTTCTTTAGTTTCTTTTATCGAATCTGGCGGGAAAAGGGGGGAAATTGATTTGGTAAACAAGTTCTCTCACTTCCCATTTGCCAAACATTCCTTAGGTTATCGATAAACAATTCCTCCGATTCAGTTAAATTTCCTTAAACATTTCGCATTGTTGGTGAACGAATAGTCTAAATTTTAAGAAAGTTCCTTAAAAGTGAGAACGCTGTTGGTAAATTTTCATCCATCAAAATCACTTGACGTCATTTTTGGCTCGAGTCCTGGCTCGAGTCCTGGCTCGAGTCCTGGCTCGAGTCCTGGCTCGAATCCTGACTCGATATTTAGGTACCCTCGAGTTGGATAGGAGGCAAAGAAACTAAAATAGTTGAGTGACACTGATTACTATAACTAATAATTGTGCTTCATTATCTGTTGTTTGACTAATTGCATTCGACGCGACCAAAATTCGACGTAGCCTATAAAACAGGCCTAAGCCTGCTCTAAATGTTGCATTTTACATGCGCCGAATACATCAAAACAATGGATAATGCCAAGGCATTTCAGCTGATTATCTATTGTTTTGAATGCATTCGGCACATGTAAAATGAGTAAAATGTCTAAAATGCGACGTTTAGAACAGCCTCAGTGAAACTGTCAGTACCATGCACTAAATACAAGCCGTCAGGCGAGCAAGGACGTTTCGGCTTCGAAGCAAAAGTAAACAAAATTTCTAACAAGCTTACCACATTTCGATAAACATCCTTATCAGTTGGTACAGGTCCTCGGAATCTGCTCAGATCAAAAGACTTTTCAATTCCAAGTAAAAAGCCCTCGCACGCTTGCATCGCGCACAAAATTAAAACGAAATTTCTGAACCGCATATTTGGTTGTCGAACTCTTGAATATTCGCCGACAATAATAAAGTTGTGCAATACGGGCTTTGAATCATGAAAACAATTTATATATGGATTGGCGGACTGTGACCTTGTGTGATAATTAAACAAAACCATAGGAGTTTAAGTGTCGTGCGTGTCATGAGACTACCGGCGCGCAAACAAGCCATGGCACGTTTTATTTGCTCGTCTTTTGGACAAGAAATATTTGTTCGAGTGTACGGCCGACTGCGGCAAGGACAACTTGACAAGTGTAGATGGTTTTGCCAAACAAGAGGCGGTATTGACGTAATAATAACTAATAATTGGTTTACTAGACCGCATTGTGCTAGATTGTGCAGCCGAAACCGGATGAATTACACGCGGTATAAATTATTTACACAATCTGTGACACCATAACTAAGTATTTAGATAAGCTAATATTACAGCAAATAATCATGATTATGATCGACAGTTAGTTAATTATTCATAATAATCTACCGGTTTTTTTAGGAGGCCTCTCAGTAAAATCCACCCACTGGTTTGGGGAAGGAAAAATAGATTTAGCTCATATTTTGCATATGAACTAGACTTTGGTCAATATTAATCGAGC